TCAGCTTTTGTTTCACCAACTTTGGTAGTAATGCTGCGTTTGACTTTGAAGAGGATCGTTACAGAATGAACGTCAGTAATCATAAACCATTGCGAATTCCTTCTGGTAACACTCTTCGCTTAAAGAAGAGCACATCCTTTGATATTGCGCTGCTGGTTGTAGTTGTTACTTGTCTATGCTTTCTCTGTGCTTATTCAAAATATCAGCTCTTGGTTTCATCTTGTTTCTAAATATCTTACATTTTATAATCATTTGGTTCTTTTGTGACTCTGTTGCAGTGACCGAATGAAACGTATCTAACTAAACTAATATTCAATCCGACGCTTAGTTATTGAACTATGCTATTTCTCTCTCATAGCTTTTTCATCATTTCCTCTGTTCTCATCATTCTATTAACTCTTCTCTACGGTAAATAGTTATGGAGGAAATGAGCCTCCTGTTTTGTCGCCAAAGTGCTGAGTGCTGCTTAGCAGATTGTTGATCACTCAATAATTTTCCTTAAATTTGTTCATATTTTCTTACCTGGATGCAACAAGTGCAATTTTTCCAGCATGTGCCAGTAGCTCTGTCCCTTCGTAGCTTGCAGTGTGCCAACTATCAACCTTCCATTCTGTGCCATTTTAAACACAGATGCACAGCTTCGTTTTTTCTCCACTCTGGCACAGACTTTAAGTGCTTTTTATGAATCCTCATTCAGTGTCTATCATTTGCAATCCTCTTGCCTTGCCAACTTGACAGTCGGCCAGGTTGAATGACTATTATGTCAAATTTCGGAAGTAGCCGCTGTAGAAGTTATATTGCAAGTTGCTGCGCTGTTTTTTAGCCCTGTTTAAGTCTTTAGGGAGGAAAAATTGAAGGCGAATCTTTCTTGTCTGCTTGAAGACAATCTTCTTCCCTTCAAGAGCTTTCACAGCCAGTGAAAGCTGTTTTCAAAATACGTTCATTATTCTTTCAACAAGTTAGCTGGGCACTAAACTTTTTGACATCACACTTCTAGAAACCATATTCGACAGCTTTAATCATGCCTATTAAACTTCATAATCGTATAAGAACACCGACAGCATGATGCAGAATCATACAACTTTTCGTCATCGTCCCATATCGTGATCTGGACGATGTTCGTCACAGATGTTTACAATCTGGTTGCTTTCCTTTTCTTTTGCGGTCTTATTGATATTCTTGGCACCTTGTAGAGCAATGGCGCACAGGCTTTGCTCATTAGAGCTGTAGGTTCGAAATGTAGCGCGGCGTCTGTTTTCATTATTAACTGCTAATTCCTTTGATCAGTGAATTCCCCCTCACTGCTTCAGTGCAACCATCTGCTAAACGGGTGGCAAGTTGATCTGCAACCAGCATATCCAGCCC